CTTAGGAATTTGAGAAAAGTAGGCCCTGGAGCACGCCAGGGACTGGAACTCAAATCTCCCGTCCTTGAGGAATATGGGGGGTTTCCGAAAATAGGGGACCCTAATATAGTACCCCAAATAGTAGGATCCTTATTCTAAGGACCCCAACATAAGGTACCCCTTCTTTTCGGAAACTCCCATCTGTGGGGCGTTGGGGCCGTTGCAAGGCGCTGTCTTGCATTGACATGTTGCTGTGCGACGGAACCAGACAGGACTTTCGGGGTTTAGGGTTTAGGGATTTAGGGGTTAAGGGTTTAGGGGTTTAGGGGTTGAGGGTTTAGGGATTTAGGGGTTGAGGGTTTAGGGATTTAGGGGTTGAGGGTTAGGGATTTAGGGGTTTAGGGGTTTAGGGGTTAGGGGTTTAGGGGTTTAGGGGTTAGGGGTTTAGGGTAAAGTTTAGGAACTAGCTCAGACGCGTCGAAGTGATCAAAGTAAGCTTTGGAAGCTGTGGTCCTAGTCAGAATTTCCTTGCGGTGGGGATAACGTGCAGAATTGAACAAGCGGTTCACCCCTAAATCCCAAACCCGAAACCCTGAACCCTAAACCCTAAACCCCCTAAACCTCAAACTCTCGACCTGCTAGTAGATCTGATGAAAGCTTACAGCTTCAGGTTTTTGACCTCCCGGAAACTCGAGTTTGCAGGACTTCGGTGGGCTTTCCCTCGGGAGGTTCCGGAGACCATTACGAATAAACACATGGTGGAAGAATGCTAGGGTGAGGAACGTGGACCCTGGGACCCCTCTCGCCAGAAGACAGTCGAGCTTTAGAACCAGACAAGAAGACATGACAATCAGTAGGAGCCAACGGCACCTTCAGTATTCTCGGAGCATGAGCTTCTACTTCTACTTCATGGTCACCACCGTCGCCATCACCAGCAAGAGCGGCAGACGCAGCAGTGCCAGTTTAAAGTTAACTATAACCACCCGCACCCTCACCACCCCCACCACCACCGCCACAACCGCCACAATCATCACAACCACATTGTCGCCATCACCATCGCCATCATTTTCTGCTTCATCATCATCATCATCGCAAATCATCGTCGTCGCCACCAGCGTTAACACTGTCGGGCCGTCTCTCTACCAACTGTGAACAGTCGCTGTGCTGACACCCTGACAACCTTTCTGCCACACCGCCCTCAAAGTTTCGATTCCTCATCGACTCTGCTGACGAAGTGCAATTGTTAGCGTGGTACCGACACGGTGTCGGTTGCAGGTCCGTCGTGCCCCCCGGGCATGTCGCGGGGCAGAGAAGTGCCTCTGCCCGAAAAACCTTAGGCAACGGCTTTGCTATTTTTGGCAAGAGCCGGGTTTAGGGTTTTTAGGGCGTTAGGGTTTTAGCGCTTTAGGGTTTAGGGTTTTAGGGGTTTAGGGTTTAGGGGCTTAGGGGTTTAGGGGGCTGATCAGGCTTCAGGCCGAAAATAGCAAACAGTTCACAACTAGAGCCTCTAGGTAATATAGGGGCCTTAAAATGTTAGAACAAGGCTTCAAAAGAACCGGGTTCCTTAAAGGGTTCTATAAGGGCTACTTTAAGGGCTTCAGGGTATGGGGGCCAGAAGAATTAGAATGGGATTTTTTTTTGGGGGGGGGTTCCTTATTATAGTTATAGTATAATATACCCCCAAACCCTATTCTAATTATTAAGGCCCCAATATTACGTAAACGGACCAGCCATAATGCATGCACCGTAGAACGCAAGACTGTGTGCTCCAGAGGTCGTATCTGCATATGAAATGCACGTAGATTCTAACATATACCAATACACAGCCATACCTCATGTGCAATATCCCGCATGGACCATAAACGTTTACAGCACAGCGACTGCAGCATGCAAAGACGGTATAGAAAGAGACAAACAAAAAAATAAACACCAACTGACCGGTACGAAATGCAGACAAATATCTTGTCCGCTACAAGCATTGTAGCATCAGAGATGTTGTTGAAGGATTCAAGATACGCAAATGAGTGCTTGTTTGGAGACTGCCGGGCAGCCTTTCTCTACACACATCTGCAAGCATGCGAAGGAGCAACTACGCAGCCTCTGGGCATGGACGAGGGTGGCATGGCTTTGGCCTGTCCTATCCTTGAGAGGCGTCTCCACAAGTTGGCCCCGGCAGAGTCTTTGCCGCAAGGGTCAGTGCGGATTGGTTTTCCAATCCTGGTTCCGTGCGTGCACTTCAGTCGGGGGCTCCACCTCTCAGCCCCTCTTTCGCCAGAACAAGTCCGTCAATGCAGTCTCCCCACAAGACTTGTCCACAGATGAAGCTTCCTCTATGTTACAAGGTCCAACACGACATTGTCGTTGGACGACAAGCAAATGCTCAAAATTCTTGAAACACTCAGAGACGAGACAACCCAACAATGCAAACTCGGACACTGCCAGCACTGGATGAAGGGTTTTAATTCAGGATAGGTCTTGATCGGCTCAGGCTTGCGGGGCGCCTGAACCCCAATCATGAAGCTGCCTTGAGGCCTTAAGGTCGTTGCCCCCGATACAAAAAAAAAACTTCATGAACTACTTGCAAGGCTCATCACGATCCTCTATGTCCGAAATCCTTGAACTGAGCGCCCACATTGAGTCATCCCACGCCAAACCAAGTTTCTGATCAAAAATTGATGAAGTCAATGTACAACAAGGGTGGGCTTCGAAAGTTTACGATTGATTCTTGCGCGTCGTTTTGCTACTCGATAACATGTAGGCAAGAGCGGTGAACTCTTCTCAATGCCAACCCAGGGACGAAAGCCGCGCCGAAGAGGGCCAAACTGAAACCTGGATCGTCGCTGCACCATGAGCAGCAATGGTACCCACTACAGCAAAACAACGGCAGCAAAGATCGGTCGGAGTGGCAGTGGCCAGATAGCTGCAGCACTAGCACTGGCAGAAGCCGAAGTAGCCGTCGTCGTAGTAGTTGAAGCAGCAGTCGTAGCAGAAGTAGCAGCAAAAGAAGTAATAGCAGCAGCAGCAGCAGCAGCAGCAGCAGCAGCAGCAGCAGCAGCAGTGGTAGCAGAAGTAGTCGTCGTCGTCGTAGGAGTAGCAGGAGGACTAAAAGTTATCAACAGCGCTGACACAGTGCCTGCGTGGATGCTGCAATGCCTGTCTAACGACAAACCACTATTGCTAGCGGTAAACGAGCCGAAAGCTTGTTGATTTGCACCGGCACGCGACATCACAAAAGCATGCAGCCGCAAAGATTCACATTGCCCTTTGTTCAAGCATCTATATTGCCACCAAGGAGCCATGCGGTCTAAATCCACCCATGTCGGACACGGATCCATCGAATAAACCGGGGGCCATAGCAGGCAAACAGCCTTCAGCTACGAAGCCACCTGGAGCCCGGAAAACTGCGAGGCACATCAGAGCTTGTCCAGGGCCCCAAGGACATCAGAGTGCTACCAATGCAGGGGTCGGAATAATCAGTAACAGTACCGGGTTCAGGGTTTAGGGTTTAGGGCTTAGGGTCCCTAGTAGTCTTTAATATGCTTATACTACAACGTACTCCAAAAGCCCACTCATGCCCATTCTAAATTGAAGCCATGTTACCACCACGACTACTACTACTACTACTACTACTACTACTACTACTTTTGCTACTACTTTTGCTACTGCTACTGCTACTGCTACGACGACAACTAGACTTCAGAGGGCTTGCGGGCTTGGGCTGGTGAATCCTGGAGGGATGTCACGAGCTCTAATCTGGTTCCCTGTTACGGTTTTAGGGTTTAGGGTTTAGGGTTTAAGGTTTAGGGTTTGG